CCTATCATGTACACAAGCAATGCATTTATTTCAAGATATCTCGAAAACGGTTCTTACCATATTTTTTAAAAACTAATGTTAAATAAATCAAGAAGTTATCAAATTTTATAGATAATCGCTGAATTTTTTGACTATCTTAGTAAAAAGATATAGATTTTTAAAATAAAAATATTTTTAAAGCAGTTGACGAGTAGTTTCGTAAAATTATTATAACTTGGCAACATTGTAGCCACTTCACGTATCAAAGTAACACTCGATCAGCTAAGAGGTTGTTATAAACTCGCGACGTGTTCTTGAAAAATTAATTCGTCCACTGTGTGAGAACTGGAATCAGCGGTTCTGTTTGAACCAAAACAAACCCTTAAAATTAGTATGAGAAAGTCACAAATTTCTATACCATATCGTTTAAATATTTGCGAGTTTGCCGGATGAAATTGAATAAAATTATAACTTGTCCATATGTGTTTATATACATGTGTTTTGTACAGTCTCTTACAAAAATAAAGTTTATTAGCATTGAGAATCTCGAACTTTTGGTATTCACCATTACGCGATATTTTTATGTACGACTGTCGCGAGTGAACTACCTTAATGGCAAACAATAAAAAACAACAATGAACTAAAATACAACAAACTACCTATTGATATTTATTATTCGCGAATTTAATATCCGGCTTTATCTAACATTTATTTATATTGGTGACAGTTGTTTACCCCGTAATCACAGTAACAATATATTTACTTGATTATTCTGAGAAAACCGCGCGCTTGGTAATTTGTCGTTAAATGTAATATTTTAGGTATGTTCAGAACGAAATAGAGATTTATTAACTTTGATCGACAACAACGTATAGAACCCACTCACCCAAGGATCTGTACAAACTTGTACAAGGTACAAAGGTGATAGAGTGGGTGATATGAACTAACATGGGGTAAAACACAATAAGCCAATAGGCTTCAGTGTTATTCGGAGACACATAGTCAGACGAGCCCAGGAGAGAAAAAAAAAAACTTTGATCGAAATATGATGGTTGTAAATAAAATAGTATACAAACCTCGGTAAGAAGTTTTATTCCTGTCTCGAGATCATAGCTTACCTCGACGCTTCGCTATCTAATCTCACGACAGGAATGAAACTCTCCCCACCTCGGTGTGTAATATACTATTTCTACAGGATAATAACGTTAAATTTATAATTTAGCCTTCTGCAAATGTGTACTAAAAAAGTTTTACTGGCTCCTTACTATATAGAATCGATGACCCATTATCAAATAAATACAGGGTGATCAGTAATTAATGGCCCCTAGTGTAATGGCAGTGTTGGGTTCGAAATATTAAGATCTGATTCAACTTTCTTTGATATAATACTAGTAATGTAAAAAAAATGTATGACAAGAACAGGTGTCGCCAACTAGAGTGTCTTAAAGACACTATATCAGCATATGAACTCCAAGTTTAGACCAAAATACCTCCAGGCACAAGAAAAAAATTAGATATTTCTGTTAGAAACCATCGTTCAACAGCTTAGCTGCACGGTTTTAGTTTTTAGTGCTGTTAACTTTCCAAAAATACGGGATTTTGTTTATGTTTGTAGCAAAACAATGTGTTCTTCCACGAGAGATAAATTTAAAACGCACGGCAAAAGGTACCTTCGGATAGACAAGTTCCATTCACTCTTTTAACTTTTTAATTCCAAACGACCCTTTCAGCACTCATTTGTTCCTTCGAAATAGAATAAAGTAAACACTATTTTGCAATATGACAAATGGACGCACTTCGAGTGACGGAAAAGTAATGAAAATGGCGACTTGAGTGGTACTATTTAACAAAAATGGCATTTATTTTCACCAAAACTGAGTTAGACATATGACGTAAAAGTATAATGCAAAGGCGGACACTCAAGCATCGTCATAGAATCTCTTCCTTATTTAATCTCAATGGTTTATTCCGATTATTGACAGTTCAACTCACCTAAATGTAATTTAAAAGCACCCCAAAAAAACACTGCTCCTGTCCCGCTCCAGCCCTTGACTATCCCGAACTCACCTAAAGTAAACCACAGCAGGTTTGTTCGGATTTCTTTAAAATTTGATGCAAACCGTCTGAAATTCCGTAGATCAGTTGGGATAAATACCATGCCTCAAATTTAAATATCATAATTAACTCTGAGACAAATTATCTGATATATTATAGTGATAAGCAACAATTATGTATTTTAAACATTTTATTTGCATAATTTTTATAAAAAAAGAAATTTTTTCAATATATGGCAATTTTGTTACACATTCCTGAAATTTTTCCACTGGCTATAATTAACGTAACCTAATATAGAATCAAAGACGATGATTCATCAATATGTCTTTAAGACAAAACCTCAGGATAATGTATTTTTAGGTTTAAAACATTGTATATTTTTAGACCCTTCTACGAATGTAAAAAAAAACAAGATAAACAAATTTTATACATTTTAAGTGATCAACTGTCTTGTAATCCCTATTCAGTTTTTAATTTTTATTTCTTTGAAAGACATCATTGAAGGATCCCATCGAAACATTGTATGTATCGGTCAGTGTTGCTTTTAGAAATTATTTATATATTTATAGTATACAAAAAGGGTTCAATAATTCTGTATATCAATGTTAAAAAAAAAAAAAAATAAATGCTGTTGTTTAATATCATTTGTTTGAATCTTAGCTTACTGTTACTGTTAGTTATTAGGCAAGGTGTTGGTACCGTTAATATATTATGCAAGATGGATTAAATTTTAATATCTTCCATTAACATTTTTGTCAAATATAAAAAGATTTTTGTCACTGGTTATAGTTTTGAATGTATTCACTAAACTAAATAGGAAACATTGATACAGAAAATATAGGAAAAACTGTAGTTGATCACTGTTATTTTACTTCTCAACTTAATGTTTCCTATTAAAATACTCTTTAATTCTAATTTTTATTCTGCTTCTGGTTTGTCCTACGTAAATTTTATCACTATTCTTGTAACTGATGATTATACGAGCCCTAACAAAACTTTTTTAAACCCATTAATTTATACTAACTAGATAATTAAACTAAAGAACTACATTAAGAATATATTAAAGTCTATCATTTATAATTATATCAAATGATTTGGTTTCTATAACGTTGAAATACACTGTGAACAAATAAATAAACAAAAATATTGCACAATATTGTGACAACTAAATGTTCGGACAATTTCAGAAATTACTATATTAATATCGCCAAGTGGGTTTACAACATCTGCAATCCTGTCTAGCATTGTTTTTATTAAAAACAATATCATCTTGTTTAAAAAAAGAATTGAAGTACCTTTAAAATGTGCCACTTGACCCCTCGTGCCATTTAATATTCTTTAAGGGGTTGCCACCCCGTTCAGGGGGATGAATCTACATTTATAAATTAAAAATCAAAATAAATCCGATCTCAGGGATTTCTCAAAAAAACTTCTAGTAAAATATTTCAGGTGGACTGTTTTAATTGGGCCACCCTATATTGTTAATGTAGTTCTTTAGTTTAATTATTTAGTTGTGTAAATTAAAGTTTTCAATAAATTTTTGTTTGTCCGAACATTTTTTATATGAAAAAATGTGTCCGACTTGGTGTTATGAAGTCGCTCAGGAAGTTTGGCGTGTACAGGAGTTACAAAATCCAAAGGTCGATGTACTGGGGACTTTTAGTTGTTAGGGCTCGTAAGAATGGTAGCTTTTAAGCTTAGAATATTTAGCCATAATAGTCTGTTTAACTTCAGTTTGGGTGAAGAAACAATTGTAATTTTGATATTTTTATTAAAATTTATTCCATCTTGTTTGAAATGCTTTGTTAAATGTTGCTATTAATTATTCCTGAATGTAAATAATTAGAAAAAAACTAACATTTTAACACAAGTATCTTAGGATAGAATTGAAAAGTGTGGATAATTTAGAGGTCAGGATCAACATTTGAGTCATATGACAAAGTTTATGTTTTGTATGTCAACATTTACTAAGCAGTTTGAATAGTAATCCTGCACAATATTTGAACTACTTTGTCATATGACCCCCCAAAATATTTAATTGTAGGTTACGTCTACGCCATTTCAACGAATAATTTCGTGATTCCTATTAACTAATCGTTGTGACAGTATCAACGACTTTATAATAGAGAGTTATTGCAAGTTCACTTAAGGTCAGTCACTATTAGTGCCGCTCTTATTTTGACATCTAAGCATTCGCAGATCGTTTATTTTCTAAAACTGACTTTATTAAAAATTGTGCGCCTGTCCTTAATTGTGGATGTTTAAGGGCAACAGGCAGTGTTGACTCTATAGCTTTCGGGTGCGCTCACCGATATTCGTATCCGTTCGAAGTTTTTTAATATTAAATATTCAATATCATCGTCATCTAAACCTTCTAAAATTATAATTTCTAATGCCTCTTCAATATTATGTACTATTACAGACAACAAAAAAGATAAACTGTAATTTAAAATTTTTAAAATGAGGTTAAAAATATGTATAAGGACAATGACTCTTATGTCAAAATTTCAGGTTTGCAATAAGTCTTATTTTAGTATGGAATTTATTTGTCTCTAATTACGTTGTCACTATTAGTGGCTGACGTTATAGAAATTTACAATATCTCTAATAGTAGGCTAAGCTAAGTTACTTTCCTTCTTGGTGCAAAATGGACCTAATGAGGTCCAAGTGCAGTGAAGCTCAACTTCCAAGACTTAAATAATTTGAAAACATATTGAGACATTTTTGTTGTTGTACTATTCACCATAAAGTGTATTTATTAGACGCCCAGTCATTCCTAAACTTTTGAGTGAATGACGTCCGGATTTGGCACTAATTTTGACAGTTGACAGTTTGCCATAACAAAAATAGAGGTGTAACCGTAGCCATACGATAGAGAAATAATTTTTCAGACTTAATTCATGTCTAACTATAAGTTAGTTGCCGGTTATTAAACAGAATTTAATTTATTTTATAATTTTGTTAAGGACGAAGCTGTAGAAGGCGCTTTAAGGGATATCGGTTTGCTGTAAGAACAAATTCAACTTGCCATAATCGGACCAGTGATATAAAAAAATGCATTGAACTTTATATTATGTAACTGGAAAATACTCCTATATTTTATGAATAAGCTGAGACAGAAGCAAATCAACCGATATAACCTACTATTGTATTCTTTCTATTTCTATCACGCTCTTTATTTTAAATAATAAATGATGCAGATTCGAGTCATTTAAAGTTAGCGTGAAAGAGAAATGGGAATATATCAGAACGGTAGGTTGTATACGTTGCAAATATGTGATACTCGCTTTCCAGTTATGATAGTAACGGTAGTTCAATGAAAAAATTTATTTAAAAAAGTCATTCCTATATTTTATTTATATTTTATACATTGTTTTGAGAAGATTTAAATGTTTATATTTTATATATTTAAAAGACATAATAATAGTTTATACGTTATATGTACTTTTTAACGACTTTTCTATGCAGTGGGTGTGACTAATTGAGCCATACTTGAGTACAAATTATACAAAAATAGTCTTAATTTTTCTTGTTTTGTTGTAATTACTATTTCTAGCCTTAATATTCTTCTATTAAGCACAAACATCAGTGTAAAATTAGATATATATTTCAAATATATTAGTGCCAAATTATGTTTCCTAAATGATATTTATTTGATAGATACAATATAAAATATATAATTAGTTCGTTCGGAAGTTAAAGTTACATTCCCTATATACAGGGTGTTTCATAATATATGCGCAGGACTTCAGGACGTGATAGCTCGTCCAAAAATATGAAAAAACGTTTCTATTAATTTACCCTCTAAAATGCACCATTTTCGAGATACAGGGTGTTGAAATTGAAAAAAAAATTTCTACGCCACTGGAAAAAGTACGGTTTTGAGACGCCCATTTGAACCGTCAATGTTTTCTACACAAAAAAGGTACTCTTGGTCATACGCTCTAAAGTCGACCGTTTTAGAGAAAAATCAAATTTTGATGTTGAAACGTTTTTTCATATTTTTGGACGAGCTATCGCGTCCTGAAGTCCTGCGCATATATTATATACTCTTTTAAAATAAAGAAACATATCATAAGAGACAATATTTCTTTAATAATTTATTAGATTTAGATCTTTTGTTTGGGCAAAATTTAAAATGTTAGTGCTTCCTTTGAAATTATGTCTTCCACTACTTTTATCAATAATGAAGAAAATAATAGTCGTTTAATTCTGCACCTTCATAATAAACGCCATATTCAAAGGATTATTATTTTCTTCATTCTTATATATCTGCTCACTAGTGGATTTTCCAATGTAATTTTATATTTTTCTAGTTTCTATTTGTTAAGGTTTTAAGATGTTTGTGCTTAATTAACTTAGTATTGTTTTGCACCACTTTTTAACTAATTATGTTTTGTCCTAATTTTCTTTAACTGTACTAAAACTTGTCTTTGTAGTTATCTTTGTTTTAGTTTGTTTTTCAATAGAGATGCATCTTATTAGATAGTTATCTTTTATTAACACCTCGAGTTTTGTACCCGACTAACAACATTTAGATGTACTTTATTTGGGTCAGTGGATAATTGATGAGTTGGTTTAACAACATAAGCTAAATATAAAAAGCTTTTCTTTCCATTAAGTCATGAAACATATCGATACCTTTTTGCCATACTAAAGTAAGTGCCATTTAAAACAAATGTCACTTACGTTAGTCTGGCAAAAAGGTATCGATATTAAGAAGCACATTTTTGCAGAAAGGATATTAGTGTTCATTGCCTGAATTTTTCATAAAAAAATTTAATTGTCAGCAAAAAACTTCTCAGCTGATACACTCACCGACCAGCACGAGAAAAGGAGCACACATTTTAGATATAAAAAAAATATATTGTTTTTGGATGTTTTATGGTTATCACAACTTACACACAAAACAACAATTTTTAAGTAACTTTTAATAACAATCAACTGTTGATTTGAAAAGAAAAACTGGGGTTCAATAAAAATGTACCAAAATAAAAATTGCGTAGTTTATATCACCTGAACGTGTATAGTAGGCTATGGGCTTTTATTGTTTTGATAAATTTGACAGGTATTTTGCTGCGTTTAGCAAGTCGTTTAAAGTTGGGCTGCATTTATTTGAGCTAAAAATTATGGCTGTTAATCCTGAAACAGCGGCTGCTATGGTTGAGCAACTTCAAGATGGAAGAACTGAACAATATGTTGCCCAACAATACCTCGTATCCAATAGTACTGTGTATCGTATTTATATATTTTTTTTTGGAAACTAGAGGTTCTTAGTGCTTCTTAGACGTCATCAGGTCGCGTTACTTCAGTTTGCCAGGAATCATGAACACTGCGGTAAAAATGAATAGGGGCGCATTTTGTTTACTGATAAATCGAAATTTAGCCTGCTGTCTCCAAATGGTCGTGACAGAGTATGGTGAATACCACAAGATCGTTTTGCAGAATGTACCTTCAGTCCTAGGGTAGGCTACCAAGGGGGTTCAGTTATGGAGCGAGATGGAATTTATCTGGAGGCACGTACAGAGTTGTACATCGTTCTGAGGCTCCTTAATTGCTGCGAAGTACATTGATGAAAATCTGCAAGATTTTTGTCCCTTGTGTCAATTTTGTTGGAGAAAACTTTATTCTTATGCATGATAATCCTAGGCACCACTCCGCGAGAATTACTCAACAATACCTAAACGACGTAGACATTCTTGTCTTGGAGTGACCAACTTTAAATTCGGATGCTAACCCAATTGAACATGTTTGGGACATGCTTGGGCGAAGAATACGAATTTGTTTTCCTGTACCTTAAATCAATTGCAGCAAGCTCTTTCAGATGAATGGGACCTTATTTCTCAAGAAGACATTCGCCATTATTAAAAATGGGCCTCTTCAGTTTTTGCTAGCAATACGTTTCAGTAAACACTAATTTAGGTCACTTTGGCACAATGCTAATTCGTTTTTTTGTAGTGATTTTTTTTTTAAATGTAACAATAGAGTTTTTCTTTTCAAATAAACGGTTGATTGTTGTTAAAAATTTATTAAAACATATTATTTTTGTTTGTAAAGGTAAAGGTGCGTTTAGTCGGCTTAATTTTGTTTTAAGTATTAACATAAACATATATTTAAGGATTTTAAAACAAAATCGTTTATACAGCAAATTTTAGCATTAACATAAGATTTGGCAAATCATTAAAAATGGAAAAAAATACATTATAATAGCTGCTTCTGAAATTGCTCTTCTAATTATCTCAAAATTACTATTAATAAAAAGAGGTTAGAAGTTCGAAAGTTTAAAATTAGAACAATAGCTTGACCTCACTTTTTAAATACATGCGCAATTGTATTTTCGACATAAATTTAAGGATTAAGTTAGATTTTATTTATGTGTTAATGTTTATGCTTATGTTATTCTGTATAAACAGGTGCATTTAAATGTATTGAATTTAACTTTTATGTTAATGTTTATGTAAAATGCTTGAAGCTAAAACAGGCTGACTAAATGCACCTTAAGTTGTTATAACCATAAAACATCAAAAAACAATACATTTCTTTTTTTATATCTAAAATGTGCAAGTGTTCCTTTTTTTCGTGCCGATGAGTGTACATGTAAGAAATCTTCCAACTCATAAAACTTGAAAACCTACTTGGGGTTAGTAGAAAAGCAGTTTATTAGTGGTTGGATTCTGCAAGTGTAAGAAATTGGTCTTAAAAGAATGTTTTTATTGGAAAGTATTATAAAAGGTCAATTTTAACATAATTCCAGATGTATGTTTCTGCATAACTACTTTTCATTTATACTTCAAGTAAGTGACGAGTACGTACAGATAAATGACAAGATCAATTTCATAAATTATAACTGTTAAAAGTCTATATTAGGCATTCCAATGACCTGTAAAAATGTTGCTCGTGGATAGTGACAGGTTATGATATGGCAACCCTGTGGGCCTATTGTATAGTTATATAGATTGCTCAAAGCGGGAGCCAAATTGGCTCGCAAGTGCTCATTAATCAGAATCGGTTTAGCAAAAATGTGTTTTTGAATAAATTTTCAACCTTTGAATATATTAATTATTTATGACTATGACAGTTACCTTGGTATTCGGCATTTCAACGACCTGTCAAAATGCTGACAAGTGGAAACTGACAGTTTAGATACGGCAACCCTGTGTACCTGTTGTTAATGATACATGTTCCTAAACATCGTGCACATACGGAAGAGAGTAATTCTTTGGCTTATTATTTGACATACGCTTCGTTGCCGATCTACAGGGAGTTAAAATTTCAAGATTTTTCTTGTTTTTCTTTAGAGCTCCTGCAATTTTTGAGATATTTAGCTCAAATTTGGAATCTAGATTGCGTTATAGGGCTTACATTGGGTATGTCAGATGGTTGTTGAATCTACAAGATGATATTTTTTCAGGAGTGCCCCTGAACTTTTTTGGTGTGCGGCGCTGGTAGATTCTAAAATACAAAATGAATGTTCTGTTTTGTTTAGAAACCTTTCGTTTCTGCTACCGTTATCGAGAAAAAAAATTAAAAACGATTTTCTGTAAAAATAATTTATTTTACAATACAAAAAACCTAAAGAATAACTATTAAACTACATTAAAACAAATGTTGAAAGTGACCCCCTCCTACTATTATTGCATTCCAAATTTGAGTTAAATATCTCAAAAACTGTTGGAGCTCTAAAAAAAAATTAGAAAAAATCTTGAAATTTCAACACCTTGTAGATCGGTAACGAAGCATTTGCGGACCTATGTTTATATGAAGTGTTAGTCATGAAATATGCCAAAGAATTACATCCTTCCATACGTGCACGATGTTTAGGAACACCCCGTATAGTTATATAAATTACTTAAAGCGCGTCGTTTTGTAAACGGCCATATTGCCTGGCAAGTGCACAATAACTATTGTTGTGTTTTATTTTATATTGTGTTTTAAAATTAATTTCCTTCCTTTAAATATATTAAAAAAAGAATTACCGACATTTTAACTTTAAGGCATAAAAAACTGTTTATTTTGAAAACATGACTGATCAATCTATATAACTATCTATATCATTGACCCTGTTAAATCACCAGGCCCACAAGGTTACCATATGGCAAAATTATGGCAACCCTGTAGGCCTGGTGATTTGACAAGGTCAATGAAATAGATAGTTACATAGATTGATCATCCATATTTTTCAAAATAAACATAAGCTTATGCCTTGAAATAAAAATGTAAGCAATTATTTTTTTTTAAATATCTAAAGGCTAAAAATTGGTTTTAAAACACATTTTTGTTAAACCGATTCAAATTAATAAATATTTGCCAGGCAATATGGCCGCTCGTAAACGACCAGCTTTGAGCAATCTATATAACTATATATGTATCATTGACCCTGTTAATGACAGCATGACAACAGGGTTGCCATATCTAAACTGTCATTGCCCACTGGTAGCCATTTGGATAGGTCGTTGGAATGCCTAATTGTAAATTAAGCAATCCAATACCTGTCAGAATGGTCAAAAATGGCTTACGATTGGCAAAAATAACTAAAGTTTGTTAATCTAACTTTTGATTGTTTGAGTGTTTGTCTGTTATCTTAAATCATTCATACATATATTTTATTAAATATTAATTTTTACCATTTTTTAACATAACACCGAAAAAACAACTCTTAGAAACTCTAAAACAATTATTATTCACACTAATTACCTTCCTTTTTTTGTTTTTTCCAATCGTCCACCATTTAAAGTCACGTAAATTGAATTATCTGATTTTCAAAGTTTGTTTAGAAATAACGTGAACCAATCATGACTAGATTAAAGAATATTTTAATAGTCCATTGTCTTAAAAACCTAAATAAAGTACATGAGCTGAAACTAGCCAGGTGGCCATTTTTTATAGACTCTGTGATTGGGGAATTGATTTGTCAAGTAGAGTTTTAAAACGCATTTTAAAATTTATGTTAAA